ACCGGCTGCCAGGCCCCAGATCACAGGCAAATTCAGCGTATGGGGAAGAGGGCCCCTCCCCCCCATGCCTCAGCTCCCAGCACTTGCGGGAGGAGTTCACAAATGACAAAGCTCTCCTCGCTTCCCCACGTGTTGTCTCTTGCCTTGGCTGGGCACTGCTCTGGGGCGGGCCCAGCTCTTCTAGCCCAGAATCACAGAAGTGCCCAAAAAGTGGGGTTGGGAGGCACAAGCACCCAGACCCGTGATCCCCCACCCTGCTGTTCTTGCCCCAAGTCCCCACACACACACTGTCCCGTTTTCCCCCAAAATGCTCCTGAGCTACCTCTTCCTCCCAAGACCCACCCCCTACTTGTGCTCTCCGCCTGTCTTTGCCTGCCCTTACATGCCTCTGGCCCCCCACCCCCTGCTCCATGCCCCCTGTCCATGGCCTGCCTGACCAGGGGCTGCTGCTGGAGACTGGCAGGTTTTCTACCAGCTGATACCAGAGCCAGGCACTCCCACAACCAAATCCCCCTCTGTCAGAGCAAAGGGACCCCAGCCCCCCCCTCCCACCAAATCCCCCTTCCTCAGAGCCAAGCAACCCAGTGCCACCCAACCAAATCCCCTTCCAGAGGAGCCAAGCACTGGAGGAATCAGTCGGGTAAGTTTGGGGGACAGACACAAATAACGGAGTTCTGTGCGCTCAATCATGTAAGTAATTTGCACTCAAACCTCCCATTGACTTTAGGAGATCTATATGAGCAACAATTATATGGTTGGAGCCTTAAAGTCATATTACAAGAGTATTTATGCATTTTCTTCCTTGAGAGGCAAACAAAGCAGGAAATGAAATTTTTGGTAACACTGGGGAAAAATGGGGTTTTAGATTTTGATGGCCTAAACAGAAATGGTGGCTGTTTTTGGGCAGGGGGGAGGGGGACGACAGTTTTGGGCTGGGAGTTTGTTTTTGGTTTTGTTTTTTTATTCAGTGATTGAAGCAACAGCTCTTGAGTTTGTGTTGAGGACTGGTAAATTTGAAGTTTTATTATTCTACCTTCTCCTCCTCAGATATTTTAAGAGACACAATCAAGCCTTATAATGTAAGTTTTTCTGTGTGCTATTACAGATGTATGTGAAATAAGCATTAGAAATGTGATGTTTATTACTAGAAAACTTACCTAGCATTGCTCAGGTCCTTCAGGGCAGGGGACTGGCATTCGTGAGGGAGGGGGAGGTGCAGAAGTCAGGAAAAGGGGCTGAGAGGTGTGGGGGAAGTTTGGGGAAGTGAGGGTGTTCAGGGCAGGAGGCCTAGGGGGCAGCTGGCAGAACAGTGTTGTAGCTTACCCTCCCCCCCAGGCACCACCAGGGAGGGGGCCAGGGATTCACTGCCCAGCACCAGCTGCCAGCTCCATGGGGGGGGATGCAGCTTCAGTGTTCAGGCCTGGCTACCAGCTGCTCCAGGGGAGGGGTTGGAACCAGGGCTCCATTGCCTGGTCCCAGCCTCCAACTTTGGCGTGGGGAATGGGGTGCCCCCCCCCCACAGTCCAGCACTGTGACTGAAGACTGGGTGGAGAGTTTGAGTAAGAGGGTCACTTACCTGGGTCAGTGGCCAGCAACGTGGAGAGCCCTGGCCACTCTTCCTGGTGTGGCCACCCGCCTGTGGTCACTTTGCAGTATAACTGTCCTTCCTATCAACACCCACCCCCCTTCTTCTTTTTGTCTTATGGGAGACAATCACATTCCAGGCACATCCCGTTTTCCTGGCACAACCAAACCCTGATCTTGCACAAATTCTGTGTGTTTGTGGGGGAAGGAAGGCTTCCCATTATTTGCTATTATATTTCTCCCAAAAGTACAGGGGAAAAATACCCAGGAATCTCCTGATAGTAATACACCATGGTTGAGGTGCTGTATGCTACAAAAGTAAGCTGTGCATTTGGGAAGTTTATTTTTAATAATGTGGGCAGTGACAGTCAATTAATACCTTGCTTTGCTCCTGATTCAGACTCACACATCAAATCCATCTGTTAAATATTTCACAGACAACATCAGGCACTGAACTGATCATATTTTAAGCATATGTAGTAGTTTTACCTTGGTCTCAAAGAACCTACCTTTGAACAGCTCGGAGACTTGCCCAGAGCAGTCTCTAAGTTTAAGAAATTCTGATTAGTTATCATCCATTTGTAATCATTCTAATTTTTTCATCCAGAGTTTGGTCATGCTGCTTCTAAACATTTTACTACATTTTATATTTATACTAACAGATGCTAATTCCCTTTCATTAGCAAAATACTAAATGCTATTCTGACTTGTTCCTAGGCTGAAGACAGTGAGAAGTTTAAGACAATCGTGGAGTTTGAGTGCCGGGGTCTTGAGCCAGTTGACTTTCAACCACAGGTGAGTTCTTATTAACAGTTTATTTTGACAGTCCTTTGGTATTTTTCTGCTAAACTCTACACTGAAGTAGCACACTCTCTTTTTGAGAATTGCACTGCTCGTTTTGGAGTGCACTGTGATTCTCCAATAATTTTCTCTCTCTGCAGTTATCTGTCTTACCTCTCCCTTTTCACCTAATTTAAGTCCCTCCTGAAGTACTTTGTAAGTTCTGAGCATGGAAGACTTGAATTCTTTGGAGGATCTTTAGGGTAGGGCAGCAAGAGGAGGCAAGGGGTCCTAAAGCTCACATTTTGGATTGCCTAATTAGGGTCACTGATGAGAAGAGATCTTTGTGGGTTTCTGTACAAGTTATAGAGAGTTGTCTAACCTGACTTTGGATGCTGTTTAGCCATCTCTACAAATGTAGACGTGTAGTCTCAACAAAATGAGACTGAAAGGCAGAGCAAGACTTGGTGAAGGCATCAATAGTCTCTTTTGGAACACACAGCTGGAAGCATCAAGTTAAAGAGTCTCTCTGAGCTATAAACCGAGATAGCTAAGGGTACGTCTAGACTACCGCGTTTTGTCGACGGAAGTTTTGTCGACAGATACTGTCGACAAAACTTCCGTCGACAAAGAGCGTCCAGACACATTGAGTTCTGTCGACAAAGCAAGCTGCTTTGTCGACAGAACTCCGTAGTCTGGACGCAACGTTACAGGCAATAATACCTTCTGTCGACAGAGTTCTGTCGACAGAAGGTGTTATGCCTCGTAAAATGAGGTATACCAGCGTCGACAAAACTGCTGAGTTCTGTTGACGTTATGTCGACAGAACTCAGCGGTAGTGTAGACGCTGGTATAGTTTTGTCGACAAAAGTCCACTTTTGTCGACAAAACTAGGTAGTCTAGACACACCCTAAGAGAGTTTCCAAGGGGATAGCTATGGACTCTGCTTGGAGGTTGAGTCTTGGTGAGTGGTCTGTCTGGCTAATTGTTCTCTGTATACAAGCTGCATAGATCATTCAGTAGCCCCTGAGTAAGCAGCTGGAATCAGTCTGTTTGGTGAGGTAGTGTGGTTCTGATCTTTGGAGTATTGATCAGCCCTGAATGGTTTAATGCTCCCTGATTGTGAGGGGCTGAGCTAAGCAGAGAGATTTGTGTAATAATCACTGGATAGCAATATTGAGAACCACAAACTAAAGCAACTGACAGAGTTGCAGAGGTAGCTGGGGAAACTTTCCCTCCAGGTTCAGCTCTGTGCCATTTCAAGACAGCCAGTGATATAACAGTGGTGCCGACCTGCAACTGATATGCCATGTTTGCTTTCCTGTCTGAAGCCAGAAGGGACTTAATCATGCACAAAGTGCAAGCTGATGGCTATACTGGAAGAAAAGACTCTTGAACTGGAAGGGCAAGTGGAATGGCTAGTGATAATTCGAGAAGCTGAAGAATTCTTAGAGATTTGGGAAATATGAGTACCCAAGGTTCAAGGAAGAAAGGAATGAACCACCAAAGAATTGGAGAAAGAACTTAGAAAAGCTCATAAGAGACAAAAAGTGTAGCCAGAATATAGCCTATTCAATGTAATGTGCCTCAATGTACCTTGCCGGTAACAGAAAACAATGGCCCAGAGTTGTGGGTAAAGATGTTACAAGCTGACTGTGGTGTTAACGTTAAAGCAGGAACAGACCAGAAGGGTCCTCGTGATTCACTGTGGTTACCCTTTTACCCTTAGGATTGCTCTCTTCTTTAATTTAAAAATGTAAGAATGTGTTTTGTATTATGGAAGAATTTGTAATAGTAGTTACAAAATATTCTAAGAGTAAAGTACTATATCTGTTTTTACAAAAGCAACTATGTAATTTTTGTTGGTGTGAGTGAAGAAAATGAGTGTTTGAGAAGAGATTAGTCTGAAGGCCAGCACAGCATCCAGATGATCAGAGGAGGGGCCAGAGACTCAAACACCAAGCAATTTTCATATTTACCCATTGAATTTGATGACAGGGGTGGGGGACAGATTGACAACCTGAAATTAGAAGCAAGCATTCCTAATACATCCCATCTAAATCAGGGTGGAGCAACACCCAGAAAAATTGTCAGCAAAACAACAATGAAAACGATCTCCAGATAAACATATGCTACAAGGTGACTGATTACAACATGATGCAGCAAAATCCATAGTTTTGCATAAGAAGGAATTTCTATAAAAGATTCAGTTTCTTGCATCGTTCTTTGGTTCTGTCTCGCCAATATCTGGAGTGTTGGTCAAGATCGATAAAGCCCAACTCTTCTCTTGCCTTCAGTCTAACTGGCCACTAGGTTGTTGCATGCAACACACTGAACTCCTCATCCCCCACACCACTCCAAGAGCAATGATTTAAATGAAACTTGTACATTTTCATTTTATTTTCCAAGAAATAAAAATTGAGTTGACGACCTGAGCAACACCAGGTAAATCTTCTTGTATAGAAATACTTGGTCCTTTAAAAGGGTTAATTTTATAAAGCTGTAAAAAGAATTGTAAGCCACGCTGGCTGGAAGGAACAACTTAATCAGAAAAATGTGAACGATCATTGAGAATTGTGTAGGAACACTTTTTTACTAGATGGTCCCCAAAAAAACCACAATACCACAATTGAAGGAAGGCTGACATACTGTTTAAAATGGACCTGGTTTACAAGGGAAGTAAAAGCAACAGTAGAAAAATAAAATTTAATAAATAGAAGAAACAGGAAGTTGATAGTTACTAATATAAATCACGAGCTAGGAATTGTAGACAATTGTCCTTTACTAGATGGAAATGATAGAATAATCAGTAATAATGTAAAAAAGACAGACGTGTTCAATAAACATTTCTGTTCTGTATTTGGAGAAAAACAGATGATGTAATATCATATAATAACTCCTTTTCCTTTCTAGTAGTATCTCAGGTGGGTGTGAAATAACAGCTACTAAAGATACACTTTTTAAAGCAGCAGGTCCACATAATGTGACTCAAAAGAGATTTAAAAGAGCAGGTTAGGACTTGTGGAACTGTTAATGTTGATTTCCTCAGTGTTCCAAGACTTACTGAGAGATCCAAAAGCCTGGAAGAAAGCTTAATGTTGTACCAATGTTTATAAAGGGTAAATAGAATAATCTGAGTAATTGGAGGCCTGTCAATCTGACATGGATAAGCTAAGAGAGCAGTTGATAAAGGATTCAATTAATAAAGACTAAAAGGAGGGTAATACAATGAATGGCAATTAACACGAGTTTATAGAAAATAGATTGTCAAACTCTCTTGTTTTTAAAATGAGATTACAAATTTGGTTGATAATGGTACTAGTGTTGATGCACTATACTTAGACTCCTGTAAGGCATTTCACTTGGTACCTCCACACATTTTGAGAACTAGAAGAACAGAAAAGTAATTTGGTACATATTAAACTATTAGGTCTCACAATGTAACTGTAAATGAGGAATCATGATTGAGTGGGTGTTTCTAGTGGAGTACCATAGGGATTGGTTCCTGGCCATGTGCTACTTAACATTTTTCAGTGACCTGGAAAAAAACAAAATCACCACTGATAAAGTTTGCAGCTGACCAAAAAAAAGGGGGGGGGGTAAATAATTAAAAAGACAGATCACTAATACAGAGTGAATCTAGATCACTTTGTAAACTGAGCACAAGCAAACAATATGCCTTTTAATATGGCTGAATATTGTATATCTAAGAACAAAGAAGGTGGGCCATATTTGCAGGATAGGGAACTATCCTAGAAAGCAGTAATTCTGGAACAGATTTGGGGATCACAAGTTTTGGTCCAAAGGTTTAATGAATTATTTGAATGCATAAAAGAGGAATCTCAAATAGATGTAAGGAGGTTACTTTACTGCTATTTTTGGCACTAATGCAAGAACTGCTGGAATATATTGTCCATAGTTCAAGAAGGATGGCGGTAAATTGAAGTGGGTTCAGAAAAGAGCCACTGGAACAAAGGATTGTGAAACATGTTTTATATTTACAGACTCTAAGAGCTCAATTTATTTAACTTAACCTTTGCTTTAAGATAAACTTAAACAACAAATGGTCTGTAGTCAGCTGCTGGTCAGTTTCAGCAGTGGCTGAATCTGGACGCCAGTTCCGACTTACGTACAAATTCAACTTAAGAACAAACCTACAACTTAAGAACAACTTAAGAACAAACTTAAGAACAAACCTACGTCCCCTATCTTGTTGCTTTTAGGAGTGACTTGATCTATTTTATAGCTACTTCTATGGGGAATCAATACAGGCAGTCCCCGGGTTATGCGGATCCGACTTATGTCGGATCCGTACTTACGAACGGGGCTTTTCTCGCCCCGGAGGATGCGGAGGTTAGGACTTGTGGAACTGTTAATGTTGATTTCCTCAGTGTTCCAAGACTTACTGAGAGATCCAAAAGCCTGGAAGAAAGCTTAATGTTGTACCAATGTTTATAAAGGGTAAATGGAATAATCTGAGTAATTGGAGGCCTGTCAATCTGACATGGATAAGCTAAGAGAGCAGTTGATAAAGGATTCAATTAATAAAGACTAAAAGGAGGGTAATACAATGAATGGCAATTAACACGAGTTTATAGAAAATAGATTGTCAAACTCTCTTGTTTTTAAAATGAGATTACAAATTTGGTTGATAATGGTACTAGTGTTGATGCACTATACTTAGACTCCTGTAAGGCATTTCACTTGGTACCTCCATCACATTTTGAGAACTAGAAGAACAGAAAAGTAATTTGGTACATATTAAACTATTAGGTCTCACAATGTAACTGTAAATGAGGAATCATGATTGAGTGGGTGTTTCTAGTGGGGTACCATAGGGATTGGTTCCTGGCCATGTGCTACTTAACATTTTTCAGTGACCTGGAAAAAAACAAAATCACCACTGATAAAGTTTGCAGCTGACCAAAAAAAAGGGGGGGGGGTAAATAATTAAAAAGACAGATCACTAATACAGAGTGAATCTAGATCACTTTGTAAACTGAGCACAAGCAAACAATATGCCTTTTAATATGGCTGAATATTGTATATCTAAGAACAAAGAAGGTGGGCCATATTTGCAGGATAGGGAACTATCCTAGAAAGCAGTAATTCTGGAACAGATTTGGGGATCACAAGTTTTGGTCCAAAGGTTTAATGAATTATTTGAATGCATAAAAGAGGAATCTCAAATAGATGTAAGGAGGTTACTTTACTGCTATTTTTGGCACTAATGCAAGAACTGCTGGAATATATTGTCCATAGTTCAAGAAGGATGGCGGTAAATTGAAGTGGGTTCAGAAAAGAGCCACTGGAACAAAGGATTGTGAAACATGTTTTATATTTACAGACTCTAAGAGCTCAATTTATTTAACTTAACCTTTGCTTTAAGATAAACTTAAACAACAAATGGTCTGTAGTCAGCTGCTGGTCAGTTTCAGCAGTGGCTGAATCTGGACGCCAGTTCCGACTTACGTACAAATTCAACTTAAGAACAAACCTACAGTCCCTATCTTGTACGTAACCCGGGGACTGCCTGTATTTGATAATTAGCTCTTCAATCTAACAGAGAAGGTATAACACAATTCCAAGGCTGGAGGTTTGTTAAATAAATTTAGAGTGGATATAAACTGTAAATTTAAGTTATGATAATTAACCATTGGAATAATTTATAAAGAGCAGTGGTGGATTTTTCCATCATCAATCACTTTAAAATAACAATTAGTATTGTTTTCTATCATACATGCTCTTGGAATTATTTTGGTGAAATTTGATAGCCTGTGTTATACAGGAGGTCAAGGTCTCTTCAGGCCTTGGAGTCTACAGTTCTCTTCCTGCTGTCAGCTGTTGATTTGCATATGTCTGGTCATGGTCTACGTAAGCTAACTCCTTGCTATATTTAAGCTATTATTCCAGTAGGATTAGGAGTAAGTTACGTAGACTAACAAATAAAAACCTGTGCTTTATCCCTCCTATAGACTGCTGTGACATTTTAAATTGTATTATTGTTCTAGCTCATTTTCTAATACGAAGGAAAGGAAATGTCAAGTATCGATAAAGCTTTCCTGTTTCTGTGCAAAACTAAGCATATATAAAGTGGAGTACTTCGGTGTGTATTGTAACTAGTATATTTTCCTCTAGAAGCCCACTTGTCAAGGACACAAACTAAATAGTGGCTTTACAGCCAGAACAAGTAATGTGTGTGTATATATAATAAAATGTGACATGCCTGTGAGTGTGTACAATGCATGTTTGCATGGCCCTCAGCTGTCAATCTCATTTCAATAATATCAAGAGGGGAGGTTATAAAAACTCTTAACCCAACAGTCTCAAAGTTAAGTCTTAAGCAGTGTGCATAAAAGATAGCTTTGACTAAGTATTTCATTACATGTTATGATGCCTCAATAAATAAATCTAGAGTCTTACCCTCATTCTTTATGAATCCATCAGTTTTTTACATTCATCTCTCTCATATACAGCTGAAGTCAGCCTGGCTTCTCCAGATCAAGTTCGAGTTCTGTCATAAATAGCAATCCAATAAAATAAGTCCTAAATCTCTAAAAATCTTTTTAATATAATTAAAATTGAGCTGAAGTTAATGAGAACTATTTCTGTTGATATGTTTCCCAATAAAATCAAAATTCTCACTGGGGAAATTACCCTTTAGATTCCTTTATGGGAGGTGGGGGGACTTTCCCCTTGGAATATCCCAAGGATGTTAAATATCTCTGGAGATATTTAAGAGTAGGTTAGATAAATGTCTATCAGGGATGGTCTAGACAGTATTTGGTCCTGCCATGAGGGCAGGGGACTGGACTCGATGACCTCTTGAGGTCCCTTCCAGTCCTAGTATTCTAGAATTTGTGCAAGATCTTACTTTCAAGTAGGAATAAGAGATTGTTGGTAGTGTTTTGTTTTGGGCTAAGTAAAGAAAAATCTAATGAAGATGCCTGTATATTTCTTACTAGGTAAGAAATCCCTTAGTTTTAGCTTATAATTATGCTTTTAATTTAATATTTTGAGCTAATGTACCTATCAAAAAGGCCAATGAGTCTGAATCAGGCCAGTGAGTCTGAATCAGGAGCAAAGCAAGGTATTGACTGTCACTGTCCACATTATTAAAAATAAACTTCCCAAATGCACAGCTTACTTTTGTAGCATACAGCACCCCAACCGTGGTGTATTACTATCAGGAGATTCCTGGGTATTTTTCCCCTGTACTTTTGGGAGAAATATAATAGCAAATAATGGGAAGCCTTCCTTCCCCCACAAACACACAGAATTTGTGCAAGATCAGGGTTTGGTTGTGCCAGGAAAACGGGATGTGCCTGGAATGTGATTGTCTCCCATAAGACAAAAAGAAGAAGGGGGGTGGGTGTTGATAGGAAGGACAGTTATACTGCAAAGTGACCACAGGCGGGTGGCCACACCAGGAAGAGTGGCCAGGGCTCTCCACGTTGCTGGCCACTGACCCAGGTAAGTGACCCTCTTACTCAAACTCTTAGATGTAAGCAGAATAACTGCATGCTGAAAGCTATATTGGCAAGTTGGGTGATAAGAATTCCTGTTTCGTTAATTAGGTATGTTCTAAGCTTCAGCTATTGTTACTCCTTAGCCAGTCAGCAGGGGGCAGACAAGCTATTTCATTACTCAGCTCCATTTAGCAGAGATTAGAGTATCAACTCTAAGCCACAAAAAAGAAAAATACAAGCCCTGCTGGTATTACAGCAACCTGTCACATGGTTTAATGTTCTGTAGATCTTTTTGTTAAATGTGTACTGAGTGACACTGGCTCTGTATCCCCCTCTTCCATTCTTTGCTGCAGTTCTGTAGTGTGGCTGGTGGAGATGCAAATCTATTGCTTTCTTCCCCCACTCACATTGACTTGGATTCTGATCACGTAAAAGCTGCATACAGTGTTGGATCTAAATGCACCACTCACATTGACATTTGTGTATTGTGGGATGTGTATGACTACATTTTTAATCTTCACAAACCCCAAAACATTTTAAAGTTTGTGGCCAGAAAGCGCATTCCTTGTTTAATCAAACTTCTCAGAAGCTAGTGGGGCTTTATGTCTACAAAGAATCCAAGGCAGGTCCAGTATGCATTCATTTGCAAAACCAGGAAATAGTTCCTTGTATACACAGCAAAGAATCCAAGTAGTTCACAAGAAAGATTCTTAGACTGTCCATTCTTTAATTTGTGTCTTTGTTCTTAAATGCTTGAGGAATTTGATTGACCAATATAACAGTAATCTGCAATATTAAATATTTTTTAACCCAAGTGTAAACCCTAATATGTGAGCATGTTCTGTACCATCTTTAGAAATTCATTCATTGCTTTGGGTGCTGGATCCCAGAGAGGCAGCCACCTTGGTTGACCTCTTTATTCCTGAGTAATCCCTTTAGTGTCATTGTTTGGGGAGGGGAGGACGGTGAGATTGGATGAGTGTGGCACTGCCTCTGCTCATGTGTGCACCGGTGGAAACTTCAGTGTAGTTCTCTCAGGTCAGTTTTTGTTAGAAAAGGATGGTTACGTAGACAAAGAACAGTGCAGCTCACTCTGAAATTGTGTTGCTTGTGTGGAGTCTAATCTGGTTACAATTAAAATCTGGTTGATTCTCCTTGTGGTTGTTTGTTTCACTCCTCTGTAGTTAAAATTAACTTCGGGGTGGTGATAGTTACAATCAGTTGGTCCCTTTGCCAGAGATGTCTGGGTTCTCATGCTGTTTAAATCAAAACAGAAAATTTGTCTTTTTTCCTCTCTTGCTTTCCATTCTTAGCTTGCTGTGAAACTGGAGTACACTGTCAAATGCCTTGCAATATCTTGACTATTTTAATCTAATGCATTCACTGCTAACAGACATATGAGATACATTTAAGTCTGTGATGCCATAGGGATTCTTTGGGAGGAAAAAAAGTTAGACAATTTTCAGGGAAAACTGAGGTTTCCTTGCTTTACTATATTACTTGCATAATTTTAAGTTCCTATAGCTATAGGCTAAAATGAAATTCTAGATCCCTTGTCTTTTGGACTCAAACATATAAAAATAAAACTTGGGCATTTCAATTACATGAACAGTCAGGCTTAAACCCTCCATGTTTATTAAACTGAGGGTCATACCCTATATTGAAACCATAGGTCAGATAATTTGGCCATTCTTTATACCCACTTGTAAGAAAGCAAGCTCCAGTAATGATGAATACTTGTACTGTATAATCCTGTTTTAGCTATTTTAAACATATTTAAAACTTATGGACTCATACCTAAGTGTACTTTAATTCTGGTTTGTAGGCTGGGTTTGCTGCTGAAGGTGCAGAGTCTGGCACACCTTTTAATGAAATAAACTTGCTGGAAAAGGTACATCTTTTTTCCTCAGTTTACCTGTCCCCAGAAGTGTAAAAGGATGGTCTTAAGTCCCAGTTCCTTATTCCATTCAAAAGTAACGTAAGTGGAGGAAACAATCTTGAAACATGAATGTTAGGTTTTAGACACTTCCAAATAGTACCCTGAGGATGCTTCTTTGGAAGTGTCTAATCATGGACATCTTCAATATTTTGAATAGGCAAAGTATCATTGTAGCTTACTCTTGAAAAAATACTAGGGGAACCCTCTCCCTCTCCCCCACAACCATGGAGAAGGTGACCAACTGGGAAATCTGTAATGGAGTCACTGGTGGTCTTTTGATCTGGGACTGTTGGGGCAAGTCATGAGAAATTTTCCAGGTGCTGAATACTGCTTGTAAGCTTAGAGGGAGACTCTTTGGGCTTGCATACATATACTTGGAAGCACAGCAGGCTGGAGCATGAACCACAGCACAGTAGCCAGCCATGCAGAGCCTGCTACTGCCCACTAAAAAATCCATAGTGCATTTTGATCTGCTGCTTTAAACAGCAAAATGTCTCCCTGCAATCAAGCCCACAGATGCTCTAAATATTCATTGGCCATGAGCAGGAATCTCAAATTCAGTTCCTCTTGTTGGTATTCCACATGACAGGAAGATCTGCTTGTCTGACTGACCAGATGGGGTATTGTAAATAATCCTTTCACGCACCATGACTGCAGACTTGTCTGTTAGCTACAGTCTTCAGACACATAAAATCTGATTCCTTAAGCTAAAACTACTAAGAAGATTGTAGCTAATTTAATTTGTTTAGTGTTCACTTTTGTTTGACATAGAATTAGACAGGTTAAGGACATAAACTCTTCCTTCAGAAAATACAGAACCCAAATTTGGAATAGATAGTATTTGTGATTTTAAATACTACCCCTTTCTGTTAAGATAATGTTGTAACATTTTAATTCTTACAGGACTGGAATGACTATGATGAAAAAATAAAGGAGTCTGTTGGAATCTATGAAGTTACCCATAAGTTTCTAAAATGCTGAAACTGGCTTTAATAAAATCTTGACACTTTGGCCAAGCAGTGGGCTGTAGCCATTACAGAAGTTCCTCTGGAGTGACTTCCTGCATGGCTATCCTTCAACCATCAAACATAATTATCAACTGAGTTGTACTTGCTGTCTCAAGACTGACTAATAAAGTCATTTTTCAGCAGTCTGGTTGTGTGCAAGACGTTCACTCGAATGAACTCATTACAGCCAAACCTAATATGGGAATGCTTTGCTGTGTTACTTGACTAACACACTGGCCCTTTGGAGACTGAGACCTAACAACATAAATAGTCACTTCTCTATGGATTAAAAGCACCATCAGGTGTTTTATCAATGATAAATCCTTCCATTATTTGAATCTTGATCATCGTCCTGGGCACATAGGTAACTGCAACTGTTAGGGCTTGAAGCCAGAAGTACATCTATGCAGTAGTTTTCTGCTAGTTCAAAAAATCTGCTCTTACCTTGTAAGAAATAACCATTTTCTCCTAACTGACTTGCATTAAGTGACACATTACAGTTAATGTTTGAGCTTAATTTTTGCATGTTTACATTTATAACTATCTTTTGATAACCAAATGATCATTATACAGATACCAATTTTTACCCCAAGCAGAAGGCAAATATTTCCCCCCTTAAAACTTTAGAATTTAATTAATACCTTCTTCCACTCCTAAAATGCCTGCATCTTTTCTTGTCTCTTCTAGAAGGCTTTTCCCCAGACCTACACCTCACCTGCTCCAGGAAATCATCATTCACCAACAGCGAAGTAAATGCAGCACATAACGTAACGTCCTGGCTTCTAGCAGCAGCCTGCATGCAAATAAAAAGACCTGCTATGTATCAATAGACATGTGTTTTTTAGAAGTATAAGGATGTTTTCTCCCTGGTTCTTGTGATAGATTCTATATGTAAGAAATTGCCTCTTGTGTTTACTACTTGCACTAACACTTTTTGATACAGAAAAGAACTGGTGGGCTCGATATTACACAGAAAAACCTGAAAGCAACTAAACTTGTGGTACTATTAATTTTATCAGTGACAGTCTAGCATCATGCATTTAGAATATTCTATTGTCCCACATTTTGGAACTGTACACACAGCAATAGACAAAACCCATCAGTTTCACTTTTTGTGCTATTTTGAACAGATGGCAGCTGAGATAGAAACAACTGGGCTGCGTCTAGACTGGCAATGTTTACCGCAAAAGCAGCCGCTTTTGTGCAAAAACTTGCCAGCTGTCTACACTGGACGCTTGATTTTGTGAAAAAGCACTGACGTTCTACTGTCCGAAATCAGTGCTTCTTGCGCAAATGCTTTCATGTCTCATTCGAGCAAAAGCCCTTTTCCGGAAATGTTTTTGCGCAAGAGGGCCAGTGTAGACAACTAAAAACTGTTTTGCGCAAAAAAGCCCTGATGGCAAAAATGGCGATCGAGGATTTCTTGCACAAAACCGTGTCTAGATGGGCACAGATGCTTTTCCGCAAAAACTTTTCTGTTAAAAGCATTTGCGGAAAATCATGCCAGTCTAGATTTAGCCTTGCTCTTTAGCAGGGAAGAATTCAAATAGGCAATGCAAAGGTAGGGGATAGGATTGAGGCAGAGACACTGTTCCTTTAAGAGCAGCCACAAACTTTTTTTTGAGCTGGGGAAGAGGGAGAACAGACAGTGGAGGTGTCTTTAATACATACAGGAAAGTCCCAGTTATCCAACCTAAACGGCACCGACAGGTGGTCAGATTACTGAATATGTCAGATGATAGGGACTCTACTGTAGAGCAGCATCAGCTGCTCCAAGAGAGCAACGGGGCAGCTGATGCCACTCCTGCCAGGGATGAAGCGCCCACAGCAGGAGCAGCATCAGCAGCTCCCGGGCACAGGGCGGGAGAATGGCCCTGCTCGCTGCCCCGTTGCTCTCTTGGAGCAGCTGATGCTGCTCCTGCTGGCACTGCTGCATAGCCAGCAGGAGCAGCATCAGTTGCTCCAAGAGAGCGAGGGGGCAGCAAGCAGGGCCGTTCTCCTGGCCCACCTGACCCTGCAGCTCCCGGGGACAAAGTCCCCTGGAGCTGCGGGGTCGGATAAAGCGGAGTGTCGGATTGCTGAGTGACGGATAATCCAGACTCCACTGTATGCTGAAGCTAATGTAGGAAGAGAGCCCCAAGGCAAGGGTGATTGACAGTACTGTAAAGAACTTCTGCTCTCCAGATGTGCCCCTTCCTTTCACAAGATGGGATTCTTACATCTTTGTAGGAGCTCTGCTGCAATGGGCATCGCATCAGATCCTTGGCAGCAATTAGTGAGACTCTAGAGTTACAAGTTCTTGAATAAAGCTAGCAGATACTACTGTTCTTTAGGCAATTCTACTGTGGCTGCTGGAAAGCTCCACCACCTTCTTTCACTTTGAGCCCAATGCCTTTATCTCACACCTGCAAACTCTTAAGACACTTGCCTTGGGAAATAGACTGAAAGGTTCCAGCAGATACTTGTGTGCCATGCAAGAAATCTGGAGCATTCATGTGAGGTAGGAAATAGTCATTAAGGAAAGTACCTGGTGGTAATTCCTTCTCCCCACAGGAGGAGAGAGATTTAGGAAAGAAAAGCAGCACCTGCCTATAGAAACAACGATAAATGATTTTTCAATATGATTATAGGGCAGAAAGATAAACTTAATTTGTAAAGCATCAACTATTCCTAATAAGTGTATGCTTATTTTAAAAGTGTAAATTCTTCACACCAGTAACTCTCAAATCCCTAATGCTGAGATACTACTAAAGCATTTCTGCAACCATGTCATAGGTAAATTTATTTAAACATCATTTTCCAACCAGTTTCTTAGCAGTTTAACACATGATTACAGTTGCCAGTAGTGTGTAAGTCACATTTTCAGGTTTTCTTTTAAACTTGTCATTACATTGGAATGCTTCAACAGAAAATGAAGTTTGTTTGACAATTATTCAAATTTAACAAAAATAATGAGAGATCTAGTAAGTGAGCATATCACATATGCAGGATTTACAATTTGTCATTTTTGTGTTTAGTTTTAAATACAGTTGTAGATGTTAGTGTTCAAATGTAGTTTCTCATGTCCACTGTAAACATGAACACTTGTGCAATATTAATTTTTTTATTAGAAATCAATATTTAATGCCTGATATTTTAAGAACACATTGTAATATATTACTTAAAAGTTTATACCAGAATTAAGTATTTTTGAATATCACATGCCTGCCCTTAACTTCTTTATAGTGGCTAAGATTTTTAAAAGATGCCTCGCCTGAACATTCAGTTCATGCTGGGCACTTAACTCTTGAAAATCCCAGCCAAAACACTTAGTGAATTAGCACTAACAACTTTCTCCCATCTTCAGCCACACATGATCAGAAGTGATGTTGATCCAAACATTTTATAGTATGCATTAAAAGTGTCCCAGACCTGCTGTGTCTAACCGTCGATGTGTTTGCCTTCTAAAACATGAAATATATCCTCCAGAGATTTATGAACACACTGAATGAATTCATGCACATTCCTGGCTGGATAAGATGAGACAATGCAGCCAATCCAATCATCGTGCACTCCATAGCCTACACCAAAGCCATCCAGCACCACAGGAGCAAATCCTCCTATATTCACAGCAGGGCTACTCAACGTGCTTGTGGACAGAATGTTGTGATTAAGCTGAGCATAGGCTTGGTCCTGGTAGAGGTCAGGTAACGGGATACCTTTTGAAGTTGCCAAATAACGCAAACTAAACAAATGCCGGTCAAATCCTTGACCTGTTAAAATAAGAACATAAAATGGCTGTGATGGATCAGACCAATGGTTCATTTAGGCCAGTGTCCTGTGTGCCAACAGTGGCCAATCCCAGGCACTTCCAAAAGAATGAACACAACAAGGCAAGTATCAGGTAAGTGATCCATCGCTTGTCATCCAGTCCCTGCCTCTAGCAATCATAATATTAGGGACACCCAGAACTCGGGTTTGTGTTCCTAGTCATCTTGGTTAAATAACCAATGATGGACCCATCACACAAACTTACTTAATTATTTTTTTAATCCAGTTATACTTTTGGCTTTCACAACATCCCAGGAAATGAGTTTCACAGGCTGACTGTGTGTTGCATGAAGTAGTACTTTATAACTTTTGTTTTTAAACGTGCTGCTGTTAATTCCATGGATTTTAACAATAGTTGAGAAATTAAATGGAGATGATCAAAATATGAGGTTTGAAAAAAGGAATAAATATTTTCATATTATTTTCAAATAGAGTCTGATGTAGTGTGTTTTAAATAACAGAAATTATAGAGGAAAAGACTATTGAACCACTACTAAAGAGATTATAATAAAAAGAAGGCCACTGATAGATACGTAATCAGAAAAGGACCTGTAAACTACATTTTTTACTAAAAATCTAGAATTTAGTAAGCTCTGATTCTGACATTTTAATATGCAATAGGGCCAGGTTAGACAGAACCACAGAAGATTGTACAGAAGCCTCAGAACCACCTGCAGGCAGATACACAAAGTAATTCAAAATCCTGCTTTGTGTGTTGCACTCTCCAAGGCATTAGCCAGTTGCTTCAGATAGCTGCCACATACGGGCCAGCATAAGGATGTTAAAATGCAGTTAATTTACATGTTAACTAGTCCACGGATCAGCTCTGGCGTTTCAAAGGGGCAGCTACCATGGAGCCCGGGGTCAGCTGGGGACTCCCAGTTGACCCCGGGTTCCCTGCAGCATTTTCCCAGAACCTGAGATCAGCTGGGGAGTCCCAGGATGTGAGGAGGTTCAGCTATGCGGCACTGCCGTTTTGAAGTACCTTTTCTCTCCCCTCCCCCCCACTTTGCTGCCTCTATCTCATAGAGGCAGCAGGGGGTGGGGGCAAATAAGGGTCTCAAAGACATTCCCTGCTTAAGAAATATATCACAAGAACAATATGTTTTTTAAACTGGAAACCACAGCTGCTATTTAGCATTCTACAATTTTTGAATGAAGGTAGTACCTCCAGCAAGATTTAATTACACTTAGTGAGACATCTGTAAAAGTTTAGCATTAATGAGCTGCTAGGACTCATTTTATGAAGAAATGTTGAATGCTTTATCACTATTCACACTTACCCATAGCAGCTTCTTTGGTCAACTGTCCGTGGTACTTTGAGCACTCAGCAATCATTTGCTGAAGTTCCTCTGTGCTGTGTTTGGAAGGCTGCCTGATGAAAGCTTCTGCGCACTTCTTTGTATAGATGGAGGTAGGACGGATGGTCTCTGTGCGACCGTGTTTGAAAGCTGCGGTGCTGCAAGACTCATATGTAGCTACAGTCTGGCCATATTGCCGGAAGAAAGCCATCTGGAAAGAAAGCTGAGCCACTGCATCAGGACTTACCTTCTTCTCCTTTAAAAATTCCTTGCCTCCTTTCTTAAACTGCATAACATCAAGAGTCAATGTTTCCATAGTGGCATCAAAGTTTTGTTTGGCTTTGATAATTCCTGCTTTTAAGGCATCATTCAACTTAAAGTTGAGTTTCTGCACAGCGCTGGAAGAATCAACTGCTGCGGGCTGAGATTGTGGGGTAACTGCTGGATTCTGGGTGCTGTCTTTAAACACTTCATTCTGGAATCTTAACACAGCCACACCATCTCCCCAGGAATGTTCAAAATGAATGGCCGCATTGCCATCTTTGGTTAGAATAAGGTTAAAGGATTTGTCATACCAGCGGTTAACACCATCTCCATGCAACATGTTGTGGGACAAGTGCACAAGGTCTTTAATGGGGAAGTCATCTAAACATAGACAGAAGACAGCAGAATCCACTTTTTGGAGGACTTCCTCATTGCCATTAGAGAGTAGCTTCTGTCTCAGTAGTGCCCAAATGTCTCTGTTTTCACTGGGCAGATATGCAAGAGGGAAGGCTGGGGCTGGACTACTGTCACTAAGTATGTATTTCAGGTGGGCTTGTATTTCAGAAGGCTTCACTATATTCCCATCTCTATCAAGGACATCAAATATGTAAAAATTCCCATTTCTGAGCACCAGCAAGTGCTTTGCTTTTTCATTTGTGAAAAGCTCATCTCGATTGAGCTTAGGCAATCGTGTGGAATTGAAAAGCCTGAAGTATTGAGACATATCTAAGGGGTATGCATTGACCATGTAAGCACCAAACCATGAGAGAGATGAAGGCACAAATCGAATGAGTCTCTTGAAGGTTTGAGTGTCACTTTTGTCTGGCTTGAGATGAAAAACCTCTGGCTCCAGATAGCCAGCCCGGAGGGTTTTCAGGAAACGTATGGCAGAAACAGTCATGTTAGTTGCGCGTGTGAGCTGATCATTATATTCAACTTTTGGGTCAGGGTTGAAACACATAAATGGGTTAAAATTCAAAACAACAGAGTCACGTGAACTTAGATACATATCAAACCAGGGACCTAAAAATGGAGAGTTGAGAAACAGATTAATACAGGTACAGTTGGTTAACTGTGAAAGCCCTGTTTACAACCACCTATATTATATATCAAACTAATTCGGGAGAGAGCTCCAACATCTGTATTTAATTACAATTCATGGGCAGGAGTACACTAGGGCAACATCAGAAATGGTCCTTCTATTGATGTCAGTGGGAACTTTGCACAAAGATCTAGAGTGCAGCATGGCTTTTATGTTGCATCATTCACTGGGAAAACATCCTTATTTTTGTCCCATTTCCCTTCCTTTCTCATCCTTCTTTCTCTTTTTTTTCCACTTACTTCTGCCTGTCTCTTCAGTTCTTCCCTTCTGCATTCCTTTCCTGCAGCAATTTGTAATTCCCACTGAGGATTCAAATAACCCACACATTTTCAGCTCTAATTGAAGCCTATATCTCCATAGGTGAAAGACTAGCTAGTATCCATGTAAGGTTTTATAACCCACTCCTCACCATGGCTTAAGCCTTTTTACTAATTCTTGCTCCTCATAATAATAATTTTGTTACACTTATGGAAACAAAAAAATGAAGAGGACTTGAATGTCAGGGGAAAAGAGGGCCAGCTACAGCTTCTGCAAGAATTTAAAAAGACACAATCCATTTAAATAATAATAATGATCAAGAAAACCAATTAACAGTAATCTGCCACATTTCCCCTCCACATTATAACTGGGCATGGCAGTTATGAGTGTAAGGCCTAGTTTACACTAAATCCCCCTCAGCCCTGTCAATCTAAGCTACTCAAGTTCAACTACATGAATAGCATCGTTGAAGTCGGTGTTCTTACTGTGGAATCTTCCATATAGGAAGGTCAGCAGCTGATGCTCTCCCATTAACTCCACCTATTCTTTTTGTCCTGGTGGAATACTGGAGTCAACAGGAGAGTGCTTAGAGGCTGATTTATTGCTTCAAAGCAGACACGATAAATCCACCATCAGTGGATCTCTCACTGCAGCATCAATTCATTCACTGTGTAGTGGAGACAAGCCTTAAGTCATTACTATCAAAATGTTGGTCAAGCTGTCCTATGTGAGAAATTGGTGGTTCTCAGTGCAATCCAAATACATACTATCAAAACTGGCACCCTTACTGGTAGTCTTAAGGATTGAACCCAAAGTCAGAACAATATGGGGAGAAGATTACACTACTGTAGCTTGTGCTGTACTGGATATATTATCAGACTCCATTGCTGTCTACCCAACGTCTTCCACAAACACTAAAATAATTTACATTTGAAAGCCATTGGAAGTAACATGAATAAATACATACATAAATTCACTAACCTAAAAGCTATGCTTTCTCTTGCTTTTCTTTCCCTCTCTCTCTCTGTTTCATCTCCTTCATTTTGTCTTATGTGCTTTCTCTCCTTTTCTTTATTCTGGTCTTCCTCTCTGAGTCTTTCCTTTTCTTGTTCTTTAAAAGAATAATGCTCTGCATTTTTTAAGGCTCTTTATACCTCCCATCAGTCAGTCACCTTTTCCAACTTTACTGAGAATTCAGATTCATGATTGTAACTACACATGGGATAGTTTTCTTATAGAGCTTACTAGCTGAAGAAGCATGAAAAAGTATAAACACTGGAATATACTTTTATTAATATTTGTAATTACTATTTTTTTTAATACAGTACATTATGTTTTCACTACAGTCTCTCTCAACCTCCTATAGAAGCATGACTTTTTTTCTTTAACAAGGGAAAGAACATTCAGGACACAAGAGCTTCCTACATAGATAGCAACATGTTCTACTCTTGAACAATATGCCACACCTGAGGATATTTTGGTACAGTGATCCCACATCATCCTTCACCAATTCCATTAGCACGTAGGCACTACAGCAGGGGTAGGGAAGATATGGACCACAGGCTGGATCTGGCCCACTAAGCTGTTTGAATCAGCCCGGGGCCTGGCCTGCCACCCCACCACCTCCAGGTCAATCGAGACCTGCGGGCGGAGGCGTGTGCAAAGTCATTCGCTGTCTTATGTGGCTGGCTCCCTCTCTCTGCCGGGGTGCACATCACCTAGAGGGAGCCACCAACTGTTTTGAACAGCAAATGACTTTGTGCACTTCCCTGTCCCAAGGTCCTGATTGGTCTGGGGAAAGGGAAGCGCATGAAATCTCCTCCTCCCTGCCAGGGGCACGAAAGACTTTGAATGCTCCCCCACCTCCAGGCTCTGATTGGCCTGAGGGTGGGGGGTTGCACAAAGTCTCCCCCCACCCCACTAGGTGCGTGCAGCACCTACTTGGCACCACCCCTTCCCACCTGAAGCCCCCGCCCCTTCCACCTAAGGCCATGCCTCTTCCAGAGGGCGGAACCAACCTGTGACTGCCTCTCAAAATTCATGAAGTGTCCTCCCTGCAAAAATTATTGCCCACCACTGCATTACAGCATACGCACTGTTCTATCAGAATGGACCACAATACTCAGCAAATGTTCTTTTCACCAGTGTGTTCTGATTATATGGACAGACAAATCTTTTGTCGCATTAATAAACTGTATATTAAAAGTACAGTGTCTGGCCATATCTCGCCTCCATCTGATTTTGATAGCACCATTGTTCTTCCTGTGCTACACTTTTCTTTTCATATTATATTTTGCTAGTGTGCTGGCAGTTACTTTTTTCCAAATGAAAATGTGTTTTTGGAAACCTTGTTGCGGTTGAGATTTCTGCTAGGTGACAATGGGAGAGCCTAAGTATATTAATGTTTTGTGAAGTGCCTTCTTTTTTCTCCACCTGAGACAGTTTGTAATTAGCTCAGACATTGTCAAAGGGAGTTTTCATATCTTGTTTCTGAGTGTAAACCATAATGAGCTTAAATATTAATCTCTTATTCATAGCATTATGAATTATCATCAAACAAGTCTATTCCAAATGAATCTCTTCTTTATCCCACTATAAACCTTCCTACCTGAGATGTAACTAGTATGTTTGTTCTGCTTGTCTTGAGCAACCAGCTGCTCATGCAATTCTCTTCCAGCTCCATGTTCAAAACCGTGGCCAAGTTCTTTAGTTTTCCTAAAACAATCAATCAGACAGTCAAAATGCTGTCTCCAGGCATTTTTTTAAAAGATGAATCTTCTAATATGTTGTAGTGGAAGATCTGTTGTACATGGAAGCATCGTTTGGTTTTCTGTGCATCCATACCTGAATTGATCATCATCTAAGAGAGGCTTCTGGGCATTCAGATACCTTCTAATAGTATCTTCTAGTTTGGGAATTGGCAACCTGAAGGAGAGATTAAAAAAGGCAAATTAAAATGTTCTTGTTAAAACTTTGATAGTAAAGATGCTTAAAATACCATTGTGTTTGTAAGTTAATTGACTGCTCTATAATTACGCATGACAGAAAAACAGGAACTTGTTTTACAAGTAACCAACCCATAGATCCTTCTCCATAATTTTATACACTGCTAGGCATGAAATATTTTGATTCCTTGTGAAATTTCTAACCAGTTTCTTTGCAACACTCAGTGGAACCAAAATATGAAATCCGTTTTCACCTAGTTCCAGTGCAAACCATTTTACCTCTTAGGGGCTAGGTCTACACTGCTCTCTAAATTTGAAATAAGATACACAATTTGTGCTACATAAATTGCGTATAGCTTATTTTGAGTTTATTTCAAAATAGGCTATTTTGAAATTTGGTGCAGTCTCCACAGCACCAAATTTCATAATAATGTGCTATTTCGAGACATCCCTTAACCTTCGTGGAATGAGGGTTTCGAGGACGCCAAAATAGAATGCCCATTATTTCAAAAAATATTTTGAAATAACAGGTGGCTTAAGACATAGGGTAACTATCCTGGAATAACTTTGATAGTAGACATACCCTTAATGAGATTCTTTTTAACTTTCAGGTGTGACAGAACTATATTCCCTTGATAACACAGTATGATTTTTGTGTTTACAGCCATATTTCTATTAAAAAAAACCCACTTCTTTCTCTTCTCTTGCTCTGTGAAAGAGCTCCACAAACAAATGGGGAAATGAAGTACGGTATAATGAAACAACATAGCTGATTATACAGGAAATGTTGTCCAATGTACAAAGTAAACAAATGGGGGGAGAAGGAAATTTGTTTTCTCTAATATCTTTCCTTTGTAATACTGTGTATTAAACAATGGTAGGTAAGAGATAGAGGTTATAATTAAAATATAATTTTTAAGATGTCAGTTTAAACTTGAATATTAGTAGCAAAGAGCAAAGTCAGTTCCCTGTTAGCACTGACCTTTCACCTACATCCTATACTGTAGCCCATCCCAAAGACAGTATCTTGTACCTTGTTACACGCACTTTCAGCACCTGCCTTGCCTCATTCATTAGCTACATTAAGGGTGTAGCTAGCAATCTGCAACCAATACATATTGACTGGTCTAAGACTGTTGATTCCATCTGCTGTGTACTTGTAGTCTCTCAAATTAGACATGAGCCAACAGAAGTGTGCTACTAAGGCTTCACCATAAACCAGAAACCTGTTGTTCAGAATAAGAAAGTTGTCCCCAGCAATTAAGCTGTGTATTTAGTCATAGGGCTGTCTACTTTGCATTGGAGAAGGATGCTGTTGTTTTAACAGGGTGCATTTCCTCTCTGATGTGGGAGAATGCTGCTGTGCATAGCAATGAGCTTTTAAAGCCCTCAGCCATCATTTCTGAAATGCAGAGATGCAGGACTCCCTTACCAGGGGAAAGGGACTGTCCTAGACAGGAGAAGGAGAAAATGGGTGTCAGATACGGCAATCACCAGAGAAAGAGGCTCCCTTAGCTGGGCAGAGGAAAGGAGATGGGCCTTTCCTTGGCAGAGGGAAATGCAGGTGGAGGAGTAGCAGAGAGGATCGAGTTCCTTGAGGCTCAGTTCTTAAGGATGCCTAGGACTCCCTTACCTGCTATGGGGGGCTCAGAAGGTGTAGTGTCCCAGAGTAGAGTGGCTTAAGGGAGGGCAGGGGTCCCAAACTGGGAGTGGAACAGGAACCCTGCGGTGATGGGGGGGACGGGACTCAGAGGAAGGAAACAGGTGGAGGAGTAGCAGAGAGGATCGAGTTCCTTGAGGCTCAGTTCTTAAGGATGCCTAGGACTCCCTTACCTGCTATGGGGGGCTCAGAAGGTGTAGTGTCCCAGAGTAGAGTGGCTTAAGGGAGGGCAGGGGTCCCAAACTGGGAGTGGAACAGGAACCCTGCGGTGATGGGGGGGACGGGACTCAGAGGAAGGAAACAGTTTGGT